GATCCACTTCGAGGACAGCGTGAAACAAGTTTTATACCACAAGGCGGGCAGAAAGCAACAGCTTCACTCTGGCTGCACCCTTCTCCAGAACATCACTTCATCTGAGATCATTTATTCCCAGGATGACTCGAGTCTGGAACACATTCGTACAGCATTATGATGTCAACGAGATAAAGTCAGTTGATCGGATGAAAATGCTGGCCCACAGATGGCTCCAACTTCATCCTGTTCCCTACTTGTATGTTTCATAACAATAAAAATGCTTTCAAATGAGCTGATGTAGGTAACAGCTCTTAGCTTGTGAATAATGATAGGAATCCTTAACCTGTAATAGCTTGTCAATATAGCTAGGGATCCTTAACCTAACCTTGTCAAACCCTGTGTAAAAAAAAAGACAGAGAGAGAGAGAGATAATGTTCTTCATTCTCTGCATAAACACTAGTACCTCTGTACTAGTATGTGCAATGTACAGACCTCGTTGGCAACATGCAGACCCATCAACTTCCTAATGGAAAATGTGGACTCCCTTCTGCTACAACACAACTGTCAACATGCCATAATTGTTGGTGACCTCAACCAACACCTTATACAGAGGGACTTTGATGACCTTCTTGCAGTATTTGACATGAGAAACTTTGTTGATTTCCCTACTCACATCTCTGGCTCCTCCCTTGACCCAGTAGTGAGTGATCTGGCAGAAGGCATAGTCACTTGTCAACCCCTCGGCTACGTTGGATCATCTGACCACAAGGCTGTTTTTACGACACTTAAGATCCCAACAGAACGAGGTGAGGAGTCCACACGCACAACCTGGCTATGGGAAAGAGGTAATTGGCCAGCCCTTTGCTCTGAGCTCGCCACCACCGATTGGAATGCTCTTCTCCAAGGGGATGTTGACAACCAAGTGAAAGCCTTCACTGGACACATCCTTAATCTATAACAAGAACAAATTCCTCACCGGCAATATGTGACGAAGCCTACAGATCAGCCTTGGTTTGGCTTTCGTTGTAGAGAGGCTGCTACTGCTAAGTACAAAGCATGGCGAAGGTATAAGAGACATCCTACCATCTATAACAGAAACTTGCACAGGCAAGCCTGTAGGCATATGAGTGATGTTCAAAAGTGGGCCATTGCTAAATGGGAGGTGGACACTAAAAGAAAGCTAGCATCAGGTAGGGTAGGCTCCAAAACCTAGTGGTCCCTGGTCAAGGACAGACAAGGTTATCTGCTTGATGAACTCATTCCACCTCTAAATCGACAGGATGGGACCACCTCTACTAGTAGTCAAGAGAAGGCGGACCTCTTTGCTGAACACTTTGCTACCAAAATGCAAGTTTCTGATCCAGCAAGGGACCCTCCTTGGCTAGCTGCAAGAACTGTGTCAAAACTGTCAGTGGTGACAATAAGGCAGGAGGAGGTGTATTCCCTTCTTAAATCGCTTGACCAAGAAAAGGCTGTGGGCCCAGACAAATTGAGCCCAAGATTGCTGAGAAGATGTGCAGACCAGCTAGCAGCACCTCTAACTCGCATCTTTCAGCACTGCCTAGTACAGTGTAAATGGCCCTCTCTATGGAAAGAGGCAAGTGTAGTCCCTGTTCACAAAAAGAAGAGCAGAGCAGAAATCAGCAACTACAGACCAGTGTCACTCCTGTCAATCACTGGTAAGATCCTTGAGACAATAATCTCAAGACAAATGACAGAGTTTTTTGACTACCACTCACTACTTTGTGATCGTCAATATGGCTTCAGGAAAGGTTACTCTGCTGCTGATCTGTTATTAAACCTCTCCACTAAGTGGCACCAGTCACTGGATGAATCCAAAGTCAGCTGTGTGGTAGCACTGGACATTGCTGGCGCTTTCGACCGGGTGTGGCACCATGGCCTCTTAGCAAAACTTCAAGCACTGGGAATTGCAGGCTTTACGCTATGTCTCCTCAGTGATTACCTTCATGGTAGATCTCTAAGTGTAGTTCTCAATAGAACGGAATCAGCAAGACATCCTATTCGGGCAAGTGTTCCACAAGGAAGCGTGCTGGGACCATTGTTATGGAATGCCTACTTCAATGACCTTCTTCATCTCATCCCAAAATCACATGCATATGCAGACGACTGTACACTGACATTCACTTATCCAAGAGAAGAAATGCCAGCTGCTCTAAGCTACATCAATCACCAGCTGAGAGCTACATCAGCTTGGGGAAATAGATGGAAAGTAACATGTGCACCTGAGAAAACGCAAATGATGATCGTCTCTAGGCACCATAATGGTAATGCTAGTGCAGTAGTAAGGATGATTGGGAGGGTGTTGGCACCTGGAGAAGAAATTAATATCCTTGGGGTGAAATTTGACTCCAAACTAACCATGAAGAACCATGTTCCAAATCTTGCAAACAAGGCAGCCAGGAAGTTTACAGCACCTCGCCGTATCTCGCATCTTCTTGACAGTAGGGGTTGCATGATTCTGTACGAGGCACAAGTACGCTCACACCTTGAGTATGCTCCACTTTCTTGGTTTGCCTGCCCCCCCCCCCCTCTCATCTGCGACTGCTTGACGGAGTAGAGAACAGAGCAAGACGTCTCATCTCTCGCCTGGACCAATCCTGGATAGATCTGTCATTTCAGCAGACCCTTCAACACAGGAGGGATGTGGGTAGCCTTACTGTTATGTACAAGGCCAATATTGTCAAAGTACCACACTTGGATCCACTTCGAGGACAGCGTGAAACAAGCTTTTATGCCCCAAGACGGGCAGAAAGTAGCAATTTCACTCTGGCTGTACCCTTCTCCAGAACATCACTCCATCTGAGATCATATATACCCAGGATGACTCGAGTATGGAACACATTCGTACATCATAATGATGTCAACGAGATAACGTCAGTTGATCAAATAAAAATGCTGGCCCACAGATGGCTCCAACTTCATCGTGTTCCCTACTTGTATATCTCATAACAATAAAAATGCTTTCAAATGAGCTGATGTAGGTAAGAGCTCTTAGCTTGTCAATAAAACTAGGGATCCTTAACCTAACCTTGTCAAACCCTGTGTGTAAAAAAGAGAGAGAGAGAGAGAGAGAGAGAGAGACAGACAGACAGACAGACAGACAGATAGACAGAGACAGAGAGAACTGCATATTTAAAGTATGCTTATTTAAACAGCCTAAGAAAATAGAGGTACGTAAAAGTCTTAACATGTATAGATCGTCTTCCTGGAGGCGTCGCGTGGTCAATACAACTTCAAGTACTCATGATGCACAAGTTCTTGTCTAAACTGAAGGAGACGTGCGTTGTTCCACTTTAATCAGCGGCGCACCGTCAGAGGCCCTTTAAATGGCAGAGACAGTAAGCCGTGACTCACCCAAAGTTAGGATGCTTTCTTGTGTTCAGAAAGGTTAGAGAAGGATAAACTAAAGCCTGAACGCTTCAGACTGGGAAGTCAGGCATCAGGGATGCACTCTGCATTTGATTTCTGAAAGAACTTAGAATAACTGGAAAATAAAAAAAAATGAACAGGACTGCAGAAGGAAGAAGAAATTGAAAGAGAAAGGAAGATGAATATGAATTAAAGAGAAATAGAAAGAGTTAGAGGAAGTCGGAGAGTGAAAAAATGGAAGTGTGCTTGGGCCATTGTTATGGAATGTCTACTTCAATGACCTTCATTTCACCCCAGAATCCCATGCATATGCAGACGACTGTACTCTGACATTTACTTATCCAAGATACGAAATACCAGCTGCTCTAAGCTACATCAATCACCAGCTTGGGGAAACCGATGGCAGGTAACATTTGCACCTGAGAAAACATAAATGATGGTCTCTAGGCACCATGATGGTAATGCCAGAGCAGTATTAAGTATGAATGGGAGAGTGTTGGTACCCAGGGAAGAAGTTGATATACTTGGGGTGAAATTTGACTTCAAACTGACCATGAAGAACCACATTGAAGAATTAAGACACTTATGCAACATATGGGAATCTTTATTGAAGAAACGTTTCGCCGCAGAAAAGATTCCCATATGTTGCATAAATGTCTTAATTCTTCAACTTGTCGGTTTTCAAAACCATTCATCACAAGAACCACATTGTAAATCTTGCTAACAAGGCAGCCAGGAAGCTTACAGCACTTCGACGTATCTCGCATTTGCTTGACAGTAGGGGTTGCAAGATTCTGTATGAGGCACAAATGAGCTAACACCTTGAGTATGTTCCACTTTCTTGGTCTGCCTGCCCCCCCCCCCTCCTCTCATCTGCGACTGCTTGACAGAGTAGAGAACATAGCAAGACGTCTCATCTCTCACCTGGACCCATCCTGGTTAGATCTGTCATTTAAGCAGAACTTCAACACATGGGCGATGTAGGCGGCCTTACTGTTATGTACAATGTACAAGGCCAACTTTGTCAAAGTACCACACTTGGCTCCACTTCGAGGACAGAGAGAAGCGAGCTTCTATACCACAAGACGGGCAGAAATCAGCAGCTTCACTCTGGCTGTACCCTTCTCCAGAACATCAGTTCATCTGAGATCATTTATCCCCAGGATGACTCGAGTCTGGAACACATTCCTACAGCATAATGATGTCAACGAGATAAAGTCACTTGATCAAATGAAAATGCTGGCCCACAGATGGCTCCAACTTCATCCTGTTCCCTACTTGTATGTTTCATAACAATAAAAATGTTTTCAAATGAGCTGATGTAGGTAACAGCTCTTAGCGTGTCAATAAAGTTAGGAATCCTTAACTTGTCAATAAAATTAGGGATTCTTGTCATACCCTGTGTAAAAAAAATAGAGAGGGAGAACGGTGTTTATTTTTTGCCTGCGGGAATGACTGACAACATTCGAATCTTAATTATAAACTGTGTGAATGTCAAAGTCCAGACGTATTAGAGGGAGAAAAGGCGAATCGGAAATTCTAAAAAAAAAGTAAATAAATAAATAAATAAATAAAAACAAGTGCTCTGTGAGGAAAGATGAAGGAGGGGAAACGTAATTAGTCTGTACCTGAACGAGGTTGGCTCCGGGTGTGCCTCGACGCTGCAGGTGATGTTCAGTTCTTCCTGCTTCCCTCCGCCGTACACGAACTTCTGGCCGGGGCGACACATAGGCGCGACTGGTGGAAGCAAGAGACATACCGCTCGTACACTATAGGAGACCTAGACATATCAATGACTCAAAATGAACAATCATATCGGTATCTCCTAAATAACTACCTGGACGGATGAGCTGCCTTGAAGCCAGTGTAAGGCTTATGATTCAAGGAACTGTAGCTACTCTCCCTTTTCTCTCATCAGACTTCATTACCTCCCATTCCGCAGGGACTGTACAACACCCCCAATTAGCCTATCTCTTCCCCATAATTATTATTAATATTAATTTAAGGATCTTAAACGACGCTAACTACTGCTAGCAAGATATTCTTGAAACAACGCTGTACAAACCTTTCTTTAAATATATAATTCTTATACAATATACGTTAAGTATCCTTTCGAAAAATAACGTCTTAAAAAATCTTTTTTTTTTTCACTTTCAAGAACTTGCTAACATATTTGCAAACACTATATTATTATATTTGCAAACACTAGTAAACACTTCACAAAATCATACTCACTCTTATGTAAAAGACTCACTGAATAAGCCTCTTTTTTGCCACTAATTTTAAGATCAACTCTGAACTGACCTCTGAACCTGATCAAACATCCTATTGTATTGTTTTCTGAACTTTATAATGAAATTACTACAATATATATATATATATATATATATATATATATATATATATATATATATATATATATATATATATATATATATATATATATATATATATATATATGTCGTGCCGAATATGTAAAACTGGTCAATCAGCAAGAACTCATTTTAAATAAAGTTCTTTCTAAAATTTTCTCTTATACATTTATAGATATTTTTCTTCAATTATGTTAATATAAAAATTAATTGTGTTGTACCAAAAGAATCTTAGGAAGCTTACGTAACCTTATTATAAGAACATAAGAAGAACATAAGAAAGAAAGAACACTGCAACAGGCCTACTGACCCAAGACAAGCTCAACCAGGTCGAGCCTTCAATCCAGTTCACACTTGAAGAAGAAGTCGACAACACTCTTCCTTTCCTTGATGTTCTGCTCTGCAAAGCTGACCATGAACTTCGTTTTAATGTCTATCGAAAACCCACCAACCAAAACGATCTTCTCCACTTCTGCTCTCACCACGACACCAAAACTAAACGTGGTGTAATTATAGGCTTCTTCCTGCGTGCATTCAGAATCTGCAGCAGTGAGTTTCTTGAGGAAGAATACACTATAATTGAACAAGTATTTTCTAAACTCCACTATCCTCGTCACTTCATCAGAGACTGCAGACGGCGGGCATTAAACATCTTCAACACACCCAGAGAAGACACTGCCGAGAAGAGATACATAGTCCTCCCCACCAGCTCCATTGCCAAACACGTTTCCAACATCTTTTCCAATACCTCATTCCAAGTATTTACCTCCACAACCACGACCATCAAGGACATTACCAGTTATAGACAGGACAAGCTTCCACCCTTTGCAGGGGTATACATAATCCCTTGTAATGACTGCAACAAATGATACGTGGGCGAAACATCAAGGGACCTCCAAACACGTATTTCAGAACACCAATACGCAAGCAGGTCTGACGTTAAAAGGAATGCCTGTGTACAACACCGTAATTCACACAACCACTTGATAAACTACAGAAACTCAAGACTTATCGCCACAGAAGACAACACTCAATACCGAAGAATCCTGGAATCATCACTTATTTCTATATCCGACAACTTCAACCAGAATAGTGGCTTCTATAACATAGCTGAACCACTTGCCAAGAAACTTCTTCATCGCTATCCCACATAAGAACATAAGAATGGAAGAACACTGCAGAAGGTCTGCTCACAAACTTATCCAATCTCCCTTCCAAGCTACCTAAGATTTTAGACTCTATAACCCCACTCGGTACATCATCAGATGCTGCATTCTCCACCTGACCTCAGCATTCTGAACCTGACTATAAATACTCGCGTACCTTCCACCCCAGGTAGATCTGTTTGTGACTTGAAAAAGCCCACTGTGTGGGCGAAACGTTGTCAATAAAGGATCACATTATACTGCATATGTGTTTATATTTCCATCAGGTCCATACCACCCCCCTGGCCTAGAGCAATGACCATCTAGTCAGGTCACTTCCACTTAAGGAAGAAGCACGGCACCAGACCTGGCAGCCATAGCTAGTCAGGTCCAACTCACACTCACCCACACCCACTCATGTATTTATCCAACCTATTTTTAAAACTACACAAGGTCTTAGCTTCTATGACGGTACTCGGGAGTTTGTTCCACTCATCCACATCCAAACCAGTGTTTTCCTAAGTCCTTCCTGAATCTGAACTTTTCAAACTTGAAACCATTGCTGCGAGTCCTGTCTTGACTGGATATTTTCAACACGCTATTTACATCCCCTTTGTTTATTCCTGTTTTCCATTTATACACCTCGATCATATTTCCCCTAATTCTACGCCTTTCCAGAGTGCAGATTCAGGGTCCTCAGTCTATCCTCATAGGGAAGATTTCTGATACATGGGATCATCTTTGTCATCCTCCTCTGTACGTTTTCCAGAGCATTTATATCCATTCTGTAATACGGTGACCAGAACTGAGCAGCATAGTCTAAATGAGGCCTAACCAAGGATATATAGAGTTGAAGAACAACCTGAGAACTTCTATTATTTATGCTTCTTGATATGAAGCCAAGGATTCTGTTAGCTTTATTGCGAACACTTATGCATTGTTGTCTTGGTTTCAGATTACTGCTAACCAGAACTCCTAAATCCTTTTCGCAATCAGTAGTATTAAGATTTACACTATTCAGTTTATAAGTGGCATGGTTATTGTCCTGCACAATATTTAGCACTTGGCATTTGTCTACATTAAGCTGCATCTACCACTTCTCCGACCACTGCATCAGTCTATTCAAATCATCCTGGAGTGCACTAATGTCATCAATAAAATGAATTGGACGGCCTATTTTGGTGTCATCGGGAAATCTACTTAAGTCGCTATTTATTCCCTCATCTATATCGTTTATGTAAATTGTGAACAACAACGGGCCCAACACCGCTTGTGACGTGCCCCCATTCTGATTTCTCCCCATTCATGCAAACTCTTTGCTGCTTATTTGTCAGCCATGCCTCTACCCAGGAAAAAAATTCTCCTCCTATTCCGTGTGCCTTAAGTTTCCTCAATAGCCTCTGATGTGGAACTCTATCAAAAGCCTTACTGAAGTCCATATACACAATATATTCATTACCATGATCTACCTCCTCAAACACCTTAGCGAATTCGTAAATTTGTAAGACACGAACGCCCCTTAGTAAAACCGTGGTGAGATTCATTTATCAATTTATGCCTATCAAGATGGCTACGAATTGCCTCGGCAATTATTGATTCAATAAATTTTTCCACTATGGAGGTAAGGCTTATTGGTCTATAGTTCGAAGCAAAGGACCTGTCACCTGCCTTGTAAATATACATAATAAGCACAATTTAATTTTGCCTAATCTAACTAAATATATTTTATATAAGTTTACAATAATTTAAAAAACGAACACAATGAAATGTATTTTTTTCGTTAGATACAGAACGATTTTTTCGAAATTATTGCCTATAGAAATTTTCACTTGCCCTATTCGGTAAGAAGAGCGTTGGTATATATATATATATATATATATTATATATATATATATATATATATATATATATATATATATATATATATATATATATATATATATATATATATATATATATATATAGATATAGATATATATATATATATATATATATATATATATATATATATATATATATATATATATATATATATATATATATATATTTCATTGTGTTTGTTTAGTATTAAATTACTGTAAACAAATCGAAAATATATTTAGTTGGGTTAGGCTAAAATAAATTGTTCTTGTTAAAACAAGGTTAGGTAAGCATTCTAAGTTTCTTTTGGTGCAAAATTAATTTTTTTTACATTAACATTAATGAAAAAATATATATCTTTAAACGTATAAGAGAAAATTTTGGAAAGGACTTAATTTTAAATGAGTTCTTGCTAATTGACCAGTTTTACATATTCGGCAAGACATTATATATATATATATATATATATATATATATATATATATATATATATATATATATATATATATTATTAACAGAACTGCGGCTGGCCGGGACTCGATCCTGCATTCCCATGCCCAACCCTGTGAGAAATGAACAAAGTACGCATCGCTCTATCCACTGGACAAACAATCCTCAACCACCAGGCCCTTAGCGGTACTGAACGTGTTTTCCCTGGTGTGAGGACATATCTGGTCATGGAGCCACAGAGACTAATTTCAGCCTCATTCCGTTTGATGCCCCAGCCCTCACGAGAAGTCTATATACTAATGAAATCACGAAACAAGGGATTTTTGAATCACTAACAGAACTCTGGCTTGTCAGGACTCTATCCTACGTTCCCAAGCAATGTGAGAACTGAACAATATATGCATCACTCTATCCACTGATGTGTACTCTGTTCAGTTCTCACAGGGCTGGGCATGGGAACACAGGATCGAGTCCCGGCCAGCCGCAGTTCTGTTATTGATTGCAAATCACTTGTTTCGTAATTTCATTAATATATAGACTGCTCGTGAAGGCTGCTGCACCAAACAGGATGAAGTTGAAATTAGTCTCTGAGGCTCCACAACCACGTATGTCCTTGTACCAGGATAACACGTTCAGTACTGCTGAGCGCCTAGTGTTTGAGGATTATTGTTCGTTATACGAGGACACTCGCTGGTTAAGTGGTTAAGGTAATGTGAACGTTCTTCTGTCTCTTTGAGGCGGGAGAATGTGACGCAGGATCTAATCTCCGCTGGCCGCAGCTTGGTAAATGTTTCAGTTCCACTTGATTCGTGGTTTCATTACATAAACTGCTTGTGGAGGCTAGTATTCAAACGGGAGATGGTTGAAATTAGAGTTGAGTATACCACTACCACGAGTGTCCTCGGATCATAAACAACATCTAGCTCTACTGGGTGCATGATCTTTGAAGGATCGCTGGTTAAGTGTTTAAGGCGGGAGAATGTTTCACAGGATCTAATCTTGGGCTGCCGCAGTTTGATATATATATATATAAAATATATATATATATATATATATATATATATATATATATATATATATATATATATATATATATATATATATATATATATATATATATATATATATATATATATATATATATATATATATATATATTATATACATAGATTATTAAAAAATGCAGTTAAGTATTATCATGGCAAACATGCAGGGGACTCACATTTGACGCTGAGTTGGACAGCATTAGAGGAGCCTAGACCGTGAAGGTTGGTGGCAGTGCATGTGTATTGGCCGGAGGAACGTCTGGTGACGCTCTGAAGCACCAGGCTCTGGTTACTCTGTATCACACCAGCAGACACGTTGTGACTCAGCTCCTCACCCTGTACGAGGAGAAGAACCATTGGGTCATCGATGAGCTAACACTAATTTTATTAACCTAATTATTGGTAAGTACTAAACTCTTAAGAATAACAAAGTGCCTGTATAAATAGGATATAATGATGTTTTTCCGAGAAAGATGATAGTACCAATTCCATGGATCAAGAACCATTCCCCAGCATTAAGGTACCCCCGTCCCCCACCCTAATAAGGAGTGAATAAACCAAACTTTAGATGAACACATCGAAACAAATTTGGAATCTGAGTTTTCCAAGTTGGATAATACATTTCGTCTGACATCGAATATATTGTGGTGCCGGGCTTTTTTCCTGCAGGAGAGATGAAGCATTGCCAGAATGTTGTTGCTACCATAATTGTGGTTACTTCTCCGAAGTCTAGTACAACAAATAATATTAAAAGTTTTTTTCACATCACATATTGTGCTTCCGTTGAGAGGTCAAGTATTATTAATGTCCAGGGCCTAAATGCAAATCGTTACTGTGGCAAAAATTACTAGATTAAAACTGACCCAAAGTGGTCAGGCCACTTAACCTTTCTTGCCTGTCTTTCTGTCCACCCACAATCTTTTTATTCACTGTTATATCCTCCTTCAATCTTCATTCTTGAGATCCTTCACACAGCCTACAAAAAAAAAAAAAATGCAAAACGCACTATCCAGAATAAACATTCATGATGACTGTTTCGCTCTTAAGGAAATTTCATCAAATCATTACCTCATAAACTCTGTATAAAGGCTTGTACGGGAAGAAAGACGATACCATTTTCTTTGGTTTAAATGGTAAAAATATTTCTACATTCGTACAAGAAAAAAAATGTTTTTTTCACGAATTCAAGAAAAAAAAGTAACTTAAGTACCGTAACCAACAACAACTTACGTTAAGAGAGACCAACGGTGCTGTGAGGGACACACTAAGGCAAGGTGAATATACACTCACCTGCACCTGCAACACGACCTTCACCTGCAACATAACCTTCACCTGCAACACGACCTTCACCTGCAATATAACTTCACTTGCAACAAAACCATCACCTGCAACATAACCTACACGTGCACCATAACCTTCACCCGCAACATATCTTTCACCTTCATCATAACCTTCACCTACAGCACATCCTTCAACTGTAACATAATCTTCACCTGCAACATAACCTTCACCTGCAACATAACCTTCACCTGCAACATTACCTTCACATGCAGTATAACCTTCACCTGCAGTATAACCTTCACCTACAGTATAACCTTCAGCTGCAACATAACCTTCACCTACAACATAACTTTCATATGCAACATAACCTTCACCTACAGCACATCTTTCAACTGCAACATAACAATCACCTGCCAACATAACATTCACCTGCAACATAGCCTTCACCTGCAACATAACTTTCACCTGCAGCATAACCTTCACCTACAGCACATCTTTCAACTGCAACATAACAATCACCTGCAACATAACATTCACCTGCAACATAGCCTTCACCTGCAACATAACTTTCACCTGCAGCATAAACTTCACCTACAGCACATCTTTCAACTGCAACATAACCTTCACATGCAACATAACCTTCACCTGCAACATAACCTTCACCTGCAACATAATTTTCACCTGTAACATAACCTTCACCTGAAACATAACCTTCACCTGGAACATAACCTTCACCTGCAACATAACCTTCACCTGCAACATAACTTCACTTGCAACAAAACCTTCACCTACAGCATAACCTTCACCTGCAACATAACCTTCACCTGCAACATAACCTTCACCTGCAACATAACCTTCACCTGCAACATAACTTTCACCTGTAACATAACCTTCACCTGCAACATAACCTTCACCTGCAACATAAAGTTCACCTGCAACATAAAGTTCACCTGCAACATAACTTCACTTGCAACAAAACCTTCACTTGCAACATAACCTTCACCTACAGCATAACCTTCACCTGCAACATAATCTTCACCTGCAACATAACATTCACCTGCAACATACCCTTCACCTATAAAATAACCTTCACGTGCAACATAACCTTCACCTGCAACATAACCTTCACCTGCAGAATAACCTTAACCTACAGCATAACCTTCACCTGCAACATAACCTTCACCTGCAACATAACCTTCACCTGCAACATATCCATCACCTACAACATAACCTTCACGTGCAACATAACCTTCACATGCAACATAACTTTCACCCGCAGCATAACCGTCAACTACAGCATATCCTTCACCTGAAACATCATCTTCTACTGCAGCCTAAACTTTACCTGCAACAAAACCATCACCTGCGACATAACCTTCACCTGCAACATAACTTTCACATGCAGCATAAACTTCACGTACAGCACATCTTTCAACTGCAACATAACCTTCACCTGCAACATAACCTTCACCTGCAACATAATATTAACCTGCAACATGGCCTTCACCTGCAACAGAACCTTCACCTGCAATATAGCCTCCACTTGCAATAAAACCTTCGCCTGCAACATAACTTCACTTGCAACAAAACATTCACTTGCAACATATCCTTCACCTGCAACATAATCATCTACTGCAGCATAACCTTACCTGCAACAAAACCATCAACTACGACATAGCCTTCAACTGCAACATAACCTTCACCTGCAGTATAACCTTAACCTACAGAATAACCTTCACCTGTAACACAACCTTCACCTGCAACATAACATTCACATGCAACAAAATCATCACCTGCAATGTAATATTCACATGCAACAAAACCATCACCTGCAACATAACTTTCACCTGCAACATAACCTTCACCTGCAGCATAACCTTCACCTGCAACGTAACCTTCACATGCAACAAAATCATGATCTGCAACATAACATTCACATGCAACAAAACCATCATCAGCAACATAACCTTCACCTGCAACATAACTTTCACCTGCAACATAACCTTCACATGCATCATCACCTGCAACATAACATTCACATGCAACAAAACCATAACCTGCAATATAACCTTCACTTGAAACATAACTTTCACCTGCCGCATAACCTTCAAGTCCAACATAACCTTCACCTGCAACATAACCTTCATATGCAACATAACCCTCACATGCAACATAACTTTCACCTGCAACATAACATTCACCTGCAACATAACATTCACCTGCAACATAACCTTCACATGCAACAGAACCTTTACCTGCAACATAACCTTTACCTGCAACATAACCTTCCCATGCAACAAAATCATCACCTGACACATAATATTCACATGCAACAAAACCATCACCTGCAACATAACCTTCACCTGCAACATAACCTTCAGTTGCAACAAAACTTTAACCTGCAACATAACATTCACACGCAACATAATCTTCACCTGCAATATAACCTTCACTTGCAACATAACCTTCTCCTGCAGCATAACCTTCAAGAGCAACATAACCTTCACCTGCAACATAACCTTTACTTGTAACATAACCTTCACCTGCAACATAACCTTAACCTGCAACATAACCTTCACCTGCAACATAACCTTCACCTGCAGCATAACCCTCAACTGCAACATAACCTATAATTACAACAAAATCATCACTTGCAACATAACCCTTACCTGCAACATAACCTTCACTTGAAACAAAATCACCTGCAATATAACTTTCACTTGCAACATAACCTTCACCTAGAATATAACCTTCACCTGAAGCATAACCTTCTCCTGCAATATAACCTTCACCTTCAACATAACCTTAAACTGCAACATAACCTTCACCTGCAACAAAATCATCACCTACAACATAACTTCACGTGCAACATAACCTTCAAGTGCAACATAACCTTCACCAGCAACATAACCCTCATCTGCAACATAACCTTCACCTGAATCATAACCTTCACCTGCAACATAACCTTCACTTACAACGTATCCTTCACCTGCAATATAACCCACAAATCCAATATAACCTTCTCATGCAAAATAACCTTCACCTGCAGCATAATCTCTACCTACAACATAACTTTCACCTGCAACATAATCTTCACCTGAAACATAACCTACACCTGAAACATAACCTACACCTGCAACATAACCTACACCTGAAACATAACCTTCTCCTGCAGCATAACCTTCAAGAGCAACATAACCTTCACCTGCAACATAACCTTTACTTGTAACATAACCTTCACCTGCAACATAACCTTAACCTGCAACATAACCTTCACCTGCAACATAACCTTCACCTGCAGCATAACCCTCAACTGCAACATAACCTATAATTACAACAAAATCATCACTTGCAACATAACCCTTACCTGCAACATAACCTTCACTTGAAACAAAATCACCTGCAATATAACTTTCACTTGCAACATAACCTTCACCTAGAATATAACCTTCACCTGAAGCATAACCTTCTCCTGCAATATAACCTTCACCTTCAACATAACCTTAAACTGCAACATAACCTTCACCTGCAACAAAATCATCACCTACAACATAACTTCACGTGCAACATAACCTTCAAGTGCAACAAAACCCTTCACCAGCAACATAACCCTCATCTGCAACATAAACCTTCACCTGAATCATAACCTTCACCTGCAACATAACCTTCACTTACAACGTATCCTTCACCTGCAATATAACCCACAAATCCAATATAACCTTCTCATGCAAAATAACCTTCACCTGCAGCATAATCTCTACCTACAACATAACTTTCACCTGCAACATAATCTTCACCTGAAACATAACCTACACCTGAAACATAACCTACACCTGCAACATAACCTTCACCTGAAACATAACCTTCACCTGCAACATAGCCTTCAATTGCAACAAAAGTATCACCTGGAACATAACCTTCACCTGCAACATAACCTTCACCTGCAACACAACCTTCACCTGCAACATAATCTTCACTTACAACATAACATTCACTTGTAGGAAAACGTTCACCTGCAACATAATCGTCGCCTGCATCATAACTTTCACTTGCAA